AGAGGACAGATCAACATTGGAGAGATCAAAGGATCAGAGCCAGACCAAGAGAGGTACAAACCTGTTGCCTTGTAATTAGACCGGGGACAGTCAAAGGAAAAGAAAAACATGAAAAACAAATGCTTGCACTTGACCAGTTTGATAAAACAGCACAATACAACTAGCTTAATGATAATTATGATGACAGCTAAGTTTTCTTGACTTCCATTGCTTACTAAGTACAAGTAACACACACATTTTTACCTGACAAGACACAGTCAGGCAGACCAGTTATTCATGCACATAAAATCCACAAATACACTTGCAAAACAAGTCATGCAAGATAAAGCATAATGATAACAATAATAGAAAATTAACATCTGACACAAATAAATAAAAACAAAACCAGAGAAATGAAAAAATAAAATAAATATACTGTTAACCAATAATATGCTGTTCAATCTTTAGGGTAATAAGTGAGGTTGAACAGGATATTATATGTGTGAAAATAAATATGAAGTAAGATGTAAATGTAAAATCTTACACTGGTACACTGAGCAGAGTCACCAGCAGCACTGATGGTATTAGTTACAACACTGGTTGTCTGTGACACTGCTGACGACTAGCAGCAGTGGAGAGTAAACAAGGACAACATTAAAGTGGATGATCAGTACTTAAAAAGCTGGTTTAAAAACAGACTGAGTTGAGTTAAGAACTGACATTGAAATGATTGGCCATTGTGTTTCGAAGTATACAGAAATTAATGGTTTTGGATACATCCCTAATCTAAGTAAGGCGACCTGAACAAGCATTTAATTTTCCTGGACTGTTGGTAATATCAAACACTAAGACTCTTTTGCAGACGTTAAGTGTTAAGATAGTCTTTGTGACGCCAGGGAGGCTGACCAAGCTTAGACTTACTGTCTGCAGATTTGCACACCATCTGTTGGTGTCAGATATTTATCTCCTAGCCAGACCATTAGGAGCAGATAACTCCGGCTAAATGTGTTTAATTCCCCCTGATGTTACCTAAACTGGAGTGCCGGTCAGATCGTCAATATTGACACAGGGAACCGAAAGTGTGGGCAGAAGAATTGACAAAGTCTGATTTTATGGAGTTGTTAGCAAACAACTTGACAGGTGAAGTAGGCTGGAGGTGTGACTTGGCCCATTTGCTCTGGTCAGATGGATTGACCAGGAGAATGGGACCGTGGGAATTTAAACAAGTGTTGTACAGCCCTGACTGACAGCGAATAAACTTACCCACGGGGAGGAGCTGTGACATCCTTGAATGAGAATGATTTTAGGCGTAATGTAGGAGGAGCTTAGAAAAAGTTATAAAAGTGTGAACTCTAGGACTGGTGATGAGACTCTGTCAAGCACATGCCATCTGTTGGGCTTAACCTAAGCTTGAGACAGAACTTTTGGCATTGTGGTATCATTCTCCAGGTAAGAAAAACTAGTTTAAAAACCTTAATTTCCTGATAGAAATCTAACCCTGTCTTTTTGCTCAAGTGTGTGTCTTCATCACTTTGTAATACTCCTAGGCGGACTTTTCTCCATTCTCGTAGGGCACTGTCACATTGCTTTATATCCTCTTTGATAGTGTCATTAATGTTTTTCGTGCACATGTGTTTCAATGTTGTAAAACTTAAATGTTGATATTACCATTGAAATTTAATGAACTATCATGTTTTTGGAATCACAAGCGTGAAGATAACTTTGGCAATCTTTTTACATGTGGTTAATGAGAATCTGTATTACATACAGCTAACACACTGAAATGTGTTTAACTCCAGGGAAGCTAATGCGGAGACTGATCCCGGAGAGTAAATTCATGAGATTTGTTATTTGATTCGCCCCAGAACTATTGTTAGCATTCTGGGCGCGTCCATTGTTCCAAGCATAGGTTCCAGAACTTGGTCTGTCTGACTGATTGTCATTTTGAGTCTGTACGAGAGATGGCACCTGACGTAGAAGACTTGACTATCATTACAGGACTTGTGTAGAGGAAGGCAATTTGCCGACCGTCGAGTGTAACGACCTGCTGAAAGCAGTGAGGACGACAAACTGGAAAAGATAGGCAGTGTCTCAAGCCGAGAACTGTCCAAAGGTTGTTACTTTCCAATATATAATTTCATTATCAACATCATCTCAACTCTACTAGCCTAAACAAGTTCATTTGATTTTTGGTTAGATTTATTCAATAAATCTGGATCATGTTTTTATAAAATAGTTGAGTAAATTGTGTACTTAGGTTCAAGTGTCTTTGTACATATTAGTTTACTTCAGCTAACAAATATTTAAATCACTTGATGGGGGCTTTTAAGTAATGCCAGGAGAGGAGAACAGTCGGAGGGGTTAACTGAGTATCCTGATATTATCTCAGTGGGTTCATCTTGATCTCTATCTATCCCTTCTCCTACTCCTGTGGATACAAGTACAGCAACTTTCATTTCATGGAACGAGCCACTCGCTGTTTTCTTGGCTATCCAGGACTGTCTAGGATCGACATAGCTTAGATATTAGTCCAGTTTCTCACGTGGGTGGGCATTGTTAAGGATCAAACCCACACCTCACTATATCAGTGTATTTACCCACGTTGGCGCGCGACAGATGATGATAATGATACTTTTTAATTTCAGCAGTCCTGTAAAACATCCAATCGCTCTAATTGTTGAGATTTTCCATTCATTAGTTGTAATAAATACATGAAAGGTTATTAGCAGGCATGGCAGAATGAAACAAAGTAACTTTTAGGAAGCAAGCAAGAACCTGTCATCAAAAGTCATAATTAGGGCCTAGGATTCTAAGTGACACTTGGAATTTCACGCCCTGCCATGGAATTAATGGTATTAGCCTAATACCACAGAAAATACAACTCTAGTAGAAGGTGACAGGCTCCCTAAATGTTTCGTACACAGTTATACCTCGGGTAACAAACACTTCTAGTCACGAACAGATCAGCCCGCAAATTTCTGAATAAAATTTGACTCGACCCATAAACACTTCCTCTGTGCATGAAAGCATTAACATGGCTGTGGTTCCAAGTTTTTGGCTCACAAACAGCACTGGTTTGAACACTGTACACATTGTTCATCATTGCATTGTTCTCGATACACATTTTGTTAACCTCCTTTCTTCTTGTTTGTTTTTTGCATTAAATTACCTTATGGCTTCAACAAAGTGAAAAGTGTTCGTGACAGTGGTGCACTGAAGCCTAGCGTGTTTGTAAAACGAAAAAGGAAATATTAACTAAGCATAGGAATGGTGTTCATGTTTCTAATCTCGCCAATCAGTACGGCATGGATAAATCTATGATCTATACTTGATACTTCAAGTCCTCATAAACCATCTTGTGAACTTATATATCTATATATATATATTTTTTAATGTTTAGTTGTACACCTCACTTTCATAATGCCTATGGCGTCCTTGGTATCCTTTGTTCACTTTCACTATGCCTCTTTTTATGGAACCAAACCCTCTAACTACTGCTGCCTGCCTCAAAACCATTACAGTATTTAATAAAGCAGAAGTGATTCAATAAAATACCTGTCTGGAAATAAAATATATTAACATTTCCAGGATTGTATCAATGTTCTCGACCATATCTCACAACAAATGATTGTTAATCATTACCATATAAGGTGTACAACACAGAGTATCAGTAAATACTATACACAGTTGTGTTAGTCACAGACACAGCAATAACAACCCGTTACTAATCTTCCAAGTCATTAAATTCAACGAATAATCCTTTACTGAGACTAGCAGAAGCCGTAACTATGAAAAACCCTGTATTAGATATTGATACACTGTATGTGTATGACAGGACAAAACAACGGAACTAAAGTACTGACCATTCGACCTGTTGCAGTGTATCCAGAGACAGACAGTGACCGTTTGTTGGGGCCAGCATCTGCGAAGACAATGGGCAGGATTTAGACAGAGGTAAAAAAATTTCTCAGAAGTCAAATACATGTCTCAAGTTTAAAGGTGAGAGGATTGACTTTCCTGCAACAAATTTTATTTCTTTCTCTCTGCAGAGCAAGTAGTTGCCAGCAAGAGCATTGTACAAAGCATGAACACCACACTTCCAGCAACAACCACCAGGGATCTCTGAAAAACATTCACTAATGAAGCAAAGGGCAGAGCCTTAAATCAAACCCCCACCTTTCAAAGTACAAGATAAATGGCTCGAATATCTCAATACTGAGACACTCACTTCCCTTCTACTGAAAGGGCATGTGTGAAAAGCAAGAAACAGGGAATTTACCCCTAAACATACAATTAGGTCTGTGCTATAAACATTTTTTACACCCTTTTAATTTGTATAAATGAATATACAATCGTATTCTATGAAGACTGTCTAGCATGGTAGTACAAAAAATTAAAAGAAGGAATCAATAAATCAATAAAGAATGGACATCGCTGCCCTCAGGACATTTCCACCCATGCTCTGTCCCTTTTCTCCACTGCCAATGAAGTGCTTTACGCAAAGTGAAATACAAGTTTGCCTGTCTTTCTCCCTATGTACTGAGAATTGCCCATACCCTTGACTCACTCCTAGCTGCATCAATCACTCCAGATAAGAATACATGCTGTTCACTTGATCTTGGTAATGAAAAGATTTGCTTATGTGGTAGTTAGAAAGATCTCTTATACAGGTGAGGCCACTTTGAGTTCAGATTATAATGCTGTGTAGAATAACACTGAATGTGTGTGTGTGGTTAAGAACATGTTCTATAATGCAGCCACTTAGAGTCTAAAGAGATAAATATGTTAACCTGTGGTCAACATCCACTACCTTGACTCTCCAGGACATTATCTGGTACCCCCTTTAGACGCAGATGACCAGAGACGCAAAGAATGTAACTCACTGCAGTTCTGAGATAAACCTATTAGACAAGGTGAATTGCAAGAAATCTCTGCTAGATAGTGTGACTGAAGCATAAGAACACTGGCCCAGAAGCAAGCTTGATAGTTACTTTACCACTGAAGAATGCATAACTAATTACTGAGACAAAATAGAACACATACCAGAATCGATGCTGAGGCTGTTTGCTGACTTTTCACTCAGAAGTTTCCTGTGAACAAAGGACAAAACTGCAATAAATTTGAATTCCTAACTACTTTAGGTTTCAGCTTTCAACAAGTTGTTATGTGTCATGCAAACTCTAAGAGAATGCATCAGTTTGTATGCTGACACTTGTCTAAGCTATAATAAAAGGCAGACAAGAATCTTCTTTCCATCTCTTTCCGGGTGTCCCAAGATGCACCAGTTTTCCCTCTTCTTAAAATGTTGACACCTCATAATAATTACTCTATCTGATATTTGTAAAGAACTGATCTCTGAGCCTTTTGTAAAACATTCATATTACTCAGTTTGTCCGTCCAAAGAGTTTCAAATAATTTTACTGGAAACTATATTTTTGAAGCCTCAAAGAGGTTTTCAGTTTATTTATTTTTCTAACTGTTGGAAGCTGATATAGCATAGTGGCTAGATGTTTGCCTGTGGACTAAATTTCTTGGGTTTAAATCTGCAGTCAAAAATTAACATTGGTTCCCAGGTCAAACCAGCCTAGAGTGGACATCAGGTATTGTCCTAGGAAGTATATGTGACTGATGTAATGCTGACCACATCAGTCAGTGAGCACCAACTGGTCTACAAGTTGAGGTGAGATGAGACAAGATTTGACATCACAGCACTCAGGGTATTCCCATATGCGCTCCATCCACATCTTCAGCAGCCAGCACAGAGTTCCAATAGTAATGGTACCGGTCGCAAACTGGTTATATGTCCATCTTGCACAATGAGCTGGCCAGAACCTCTGGTCACACCCAGGTGCATGATTCTCTAAAGGCCATAATAATCCAGCTTCTCTTCTGACTTAATTGCTTGTTCCCCAAAGGGCCTTGATCACATCTGCCTTGTCAAGTCTATAAAAACACGAGTAGCTTTAAATGCCTGATCTATCACTGGTGCAAAAAAAAAGGGTACTAACTTTTTTTCCCCCCAGCTGACTGATTGTGGCGTGCCTGCCAGGACAGTGGTCTGAGTCCAATTCCCAGAAGTTGCTATATTTTGTAAAACGCTGGGGTAACCAATCCTACAAATATGTTAACAAATAATTTTCAGATTTTTCTAGGAAGGAGAGGTTACGAGAAGGGGAACTGGCCACCCCGCTTCCTGTATCACAGCCTAGAATGTAAGGCCTAGAAATTAATACATTAACAGCAGTATCTGCTAAAGGACTGTCTTTACTTCACTAATTATAATGATTCACAACCAGATGTTACCACTAGCTAAGCTCTCTGTAGCATGTAAGTATTGTTCTTTTTAACTTCCAATGACAGGGCTTTGTTGTTTAAGATCATTTTATGAAATGCAGTTTTTACTTGTCACATTTATATTATTTATCTCTATAATCTGAGTCGTGCATCCACATTCTGCTGGATCTCTATGATAGGCAGGTATTATAAATGTACCGGAATTTGTTTTAGGCTTGGACAAGAAACAAAATTTGAAAAAAAAAAAAGGATCAACCAATGGATCAACATGGGTGGATATAATCCACAACTATTCTACCATGGCAACATGCAGCCAGCCACAATGCCACATACCATTATGTTACGTGCATGATTGAATCTATTTTACCACAGTACTACATGAGTATATTATTCTCCCTGGGAGAAACAAGTTTAGACCCACTGCCTCCCTAACAAGCATGTCGACTAAGTGGGGGGTTCCTTCAAAGTTGGAGTGCATTTTCCTTAGAGTCTAGGAACTAACAGTCAGCATACAAATAAGCCAGATCTGTAAAATGGATATGCATGCAACACTCAGGTTCTAGCACAAGACTAAAGTCCAGAACTGGACTAAGAATTAGGACTCTCCACTGAATTTTCAGCCAGTGAATGTGAAAGAGAATAAATAAGTAGATCTATTCTATCATAACGCTACAAGGGTTAATCTACTTTACCACAGGTTTCATGATTAGATTTATTCTACAACTCTGACAACACATAAAATATGAATAATGATCATGAAAATTAAACTTCTGAAAATATGATACCAAATTAATTTAATATCCATAAAATGTTAAGTAAATTAAATACTATGTCCAATAGCTGATAATAATTAACCGATGCTGTCCTCGATAAAAAGGAATTAAATAATGTCTACTGCATTAACTGATCTCTTTTGAAAAAACATTATCTTAGTTGTTTCAGTCTAAATAGGTAATGAAAATTACCTGGCTTCTTGAAGCTCCAATTCCTCCTTTTCATGAATTCTACGGAGGTTTTCTGTATACTGAACCATTACTTCCATTGCTTTACTCAACCGTCTCTCCTGTACACATTCAGAGATATAATATATAAATACTTAAAAAAACATTATATTAGTACTGTCAGTACTGTATTTCCACATGTGGGTTCAGAAGAAAGGGGAGGGGGGGGGGGGGGGGGGGGGAAATAGGAACAGACCAACCTCTCCTTAAACAAAATCGACTAACTTCAAGGTCAGAGTGTACCTGCCAGAGAGACAAGGAACCAACAGTATGCATGCAAATAAATCAGATCTGTAAAATGGATCACACACATCACTGAGGTTTGGGAACAAGAGACCAGAGGTGGATTAACAATCTGAACTTTTCTGCCCCAGTTTACAGACAGTGAACACGAAAAAGAAGAAGAAGAAGAAAAAGAAGAAGAAGAAGAAGAAGAAGAAGAAGAAGAAGAAGAAGAAGAAGAAAAAGAAGAAGGACAAGAAGAAGCAGAAGTTGTACTAATTAGTATACAATGAATCAGGCATCAGAGTATCAACACCGGTTTATGTCAGGGTGTCAATACCAACTGTCTCTCCCTATCTCTGTCCACCTATAAATAAGATGTTAGCCGTAAATATCATATGTCAAAAGGTGTTTCAAGACAAGAGGACCAACTTCAATGCACTGGTTTTTATCTCATAATGTTTGATATAAATTTCCAAGACTTCTGCAGAAAGCATGACATTCTTGTTACCCTGTGGACAATCCCCAGGGATCTCTGAAACAAATGTATATGCATTCTAAAGGGTGAAGTCTGAACTCAAACGCACAACCTTTTGAGAACAAGGCAAATGACTAAGCATTTCACCATGGAGGAATACAATGTATTTCAAAACATAAAGATAACCTTAAAAGTTACATATGAAATAAAGATCCGACATATGAATCACTGAGGTGTAAAGAAACTGTTTGCCGGTTGAATAACAGACGACAGTCAATGCATTGGTCACACTTGATCTATAACAACTAGAAACAAAAACATTTTCAATGTCAAATGATGAAAACCAACCTGCTGTACTGCCCCAAATACCTCAGCTCTGCTAGACACTCTTGCAGTTGCTTGCTGAAGGACATCTATGTGCATTTTTATCTTCTGTAGCAGGCCTCGCACCAGAGCATCAGAGACTATCTCACTGAGAGCCTGTGATGATATGGGAAAAAAACAGCTGAAATGACTGGGCAACAAAGAGTAATATCAGCAAAATTATCACCTTCATAAATATCAGATCTTAAGGAGGACTGGAAAGTCATGTCTGCTTCAGACCTAATGTAACAAATGTCTGGGACAGTACAGTTACTAGCTAGGACACAGCGAGCTAACACAACAAATGTCTGGGACAGTACAGTTGCTAACTAGGGCACATCAGGCTAATATAACAAATATCTGGAACAGGACAGTAACTAGCTAGGACACAGCGAGCTAAAATAACAAACATTTGGGACAGCACATTTACTAACTAGGGCAGATTAGGCTAACAGAACAAATGTCTGGGACAGTACAGTTACTAACTAGGACACAGCCATCTAACATAACAAATGTCTGGGACAGCAGTTACTAACGAGGACACAGTGAGCTAACAGAACAAACACATGGGACAGTAGTTACTAGCTAGGACACTGTGGGTGCTTTTATTAATATCCTACCCCAGACAGGGAAAAAACACAGGTCACTGGGCAGTCTAATATTTCAGGGGGTGGTAGATGGGCTGCATGCAGTTGTGGGACCTAGGCTGCACTCTATCGTGGAATGTAGGTGAGTTGGGGTTAGGGCCAGTTCTAGATGTTTTAGAGTTGTTAAAAGCATCAGAAAGCCAGAAACCCAGTCTTACCACCCTCTAAAATGTTGGAATGTCCTGTGATGTCATCTGGGGTAGGATATTACAAAAGAACTGTCACAGTGAGCTAACCAAAAAGAAAACGTCTGGGACAGTAGGTACTAACTAGGACACATTGAGCTAACAGAATGAACATCTGGGACAGCATTTACTAGCTAGGACACAGTGAGCTAACACAAAAAATGTCTGGGACATAGGTACTAACTAGGACACAATGAGCTAACAGAACAAACATCTGGGACAGCATTTACTAGCTAGGACACAGTGAGCTAACACAAAAAATGTCTGGGACAAAACAGTTACTAGCTAGGACATAGTGATATAACATAACAAAAAAAAATGATGTGGTCAGAAAAGAAAAGAGTTAAAACCTCACAAACCTCAACTGCATGTCTCAAATCCTGCAGTTCAATGTCCACATTCTGCTCAGCCAAATCCCGGGCTCTCTCTTGAGCTCTGACTCTCTGGTCCAGGGTGTGTTTGTCTGATCTGAAGGCCAGGGAGAGAGTCACAAACTTGCTCTGTGGAATATGTCATATCATTCAAAGCTCCAAAGAGAAAGTCATGTCAGTAAAGTAGTCAGTGTCCTATATTATGAAGACTATGGTGCAGGTTCAGTTCCCAGCTGTGGCAGGACTATTGTTTCCTACCAGTACGACTCTGAGATGGACCAAGTCTCACACAATTTTTACTGGGTAAGCAATAAAAATTACCCTTTTCCCAACTGTGGCGCACCAGGTATATGATGCTAGAGTTATATTTGTGTAGACAAATCAGCAGTCCTCTGTGGGTGATGTGGTGAACATCACATTGGCAAACTTTACTTCACAGGACTTTAGCTGGCACCATTTTTAGGCTTAGTCGACCTGAATTTATATTTGAAAAAAAAACAAAAAAAATAACCTGATCAATATGAATCCAAGACCTCTTTACCATTAGGTGGGCATCTAGGCACAAGGCTACCACAGATTCCTGGGTACTGGGAAGTTTTGAGAATTGTCTGGAAAGAAAAAGTCAGTGGGAATGTCTTGTGATAGCTGCTGTATCTGAGGATGGACCAGCACTGAAATACCAAATGTGCTGTGAGGCTGACTTATGTTCCTTATGTACCTTGCCAATAAGCACAGGTGGTCATGTTTCACTATCCCACAAAATGATAGATCAGGTGAGTGCTTTTGTCATGCCCCATCCTTATGTCCAAGCTATCCAAGTATTTAACATTTAACCCTTGCTCTTTTTCTACCAATCCTGGCAGTTGTCATCAAGTTATCATGTCCATTCCTTCAAATAACATGTCCTAAAATAACAATGTGCCTATGTCTAATTTTTCTAATCAGGTTAAAGTACTGATCTGTCTTGAAGAAGAATGTTCCGTTAGTTTATCTACCATAACAATATTTTCTGCAATCTCAAAAACCACATCTTCACTGAGAATAGGTGGTTTTCCAGCCTGTCTGATGTTACACTACCACCCCAAGTTTGTGAAAGTGCTCAAGATTGTTCACATAGATCTGCTGTTAAATTTTCATTGTCCTCAGTTAGCAAGGTGATTAAATGAATAAAATTATGTCTTTACATTAACAACCACAACTAGATAGCCAAAATTTCATTCAAAGGGTATGAGGCCAGACAAGAGAGTTATGCAAGAAGACAGAGATGAATACTAAACCAACACAGAACTAGTGTTGTCAGCCGCAATACATGAGGGGTATGCTGAGCACACATGGAGGCTGAATGGTTTGGTGTTTAGTAAGGATGATTTATTGATTAAGCAACTAATATGTTTTATAAATATCTGATCACAATGAGTACATAAGTGAACACAGTTGTATTACCTCTACTTCTTTCTCTGACAGCTGATCTATGCTGGGGGAAAAACAAACAGAAGAACATAACAACACCACAATTATGCAACAAATATAGTGAATGATTGACTAAAAACAACATTACATCTGGGATAAACCTATTGTGCTCTGTCTCTCTTAACAGACATCACAGTGCAGGTATCCTGACTGCTATTCCTTCTTCCTCTTCTTTGTTCATTTGTTCAAGTCAAGTAATTGTGTTGTGCCTGATTACAGCATATTTGCATTATTTGGTAATTTTTTTTGGGAGTGGAAAAGGGTGGGGTGGGGTGGGGGGGGGGAACAATACATCAAATTTCAGTGGATGACTGTTCACCAGGTTAGCCTTTCTGACTTGTTTCTTGGGACCTGTTATAACCTTATTTATGTTGTGTCCTCTTTGTCCCTAAAACCCTTGTCTATCAGGCTTGTGTTCTCAGCACTCTGCTTTATGGCAGCGAAACTTGGTCAATCTATTTGCACCAGGAGAGACGGCTTAATAGCTTTCACATGCGATGCCTTGGCATTAAAGTGGCAGGGCAAAATCACAAACTCTGAGGTAGTGGAAAGAGCAGGTACTACAACAAGAAACAGATTAAACGCAAATGTTGACAACAATTGTCCTGAAATCCCATACTATCATTGTGGAAGACTTTTATTGACATAGGCGGGTCTTGCTAGTCACACGCGCCAGCGACATGGGCTGTGAGTCCCATGCCTCCTCATAGTGCAATATAACACTATCGTCTGGAAAGGTGGAAAGGTGCCAATCAACCAATCAATCTTTGTCCCCCTATCTACAGATGTTGCTTCTGGAGAAAACATTCAGGGCATCAGCGTGTCTACCCGTCAGCCCTCAAAGGAAGACAGGGGCCGATGACAGGCATTCCAAAGAGGCCGACACATGAGGCTCTGGTCCTGGGTTCACCCAAAGAATCGTCAAGTTTTGCACATGACTGCTTAACCTCTCATTTGTGTATTTATCTTCCTACTCATCATGGACTCTGCCCACTGGATATCAACAAGGAGCAGTGGGCAGCCTAAGACTTTGAAGACCATGCAATTAGAGCAATCTCCATTCACACATCTGACACCTTTGGCACTGATGCACTGGGACACCTAGCTAGACAGTAACAGAAAAGCATGCATCAGGCATGGCTTCTTTGTTTGGTCTTGACACTCTGACGAGTGAGACCAACAGTAGTGGACATTTGAATCTTGTCTGTCACAAACGGGACGTCTCATTGTCGGAATTCTAAATCTTGCATATCCCAAGGTGAGACATTTGACCGTCGTACATCCGAAACTTTGCTGTTATGCCATAGGAAATAAGTGTAAGATACCGCCCACAGAAGATGTTGCTTGTCTAAACTGAACAAATCTCACTGTCTAGGGATGAGTCTTTATATTTTGCAGTGAGGTGGCTGCCCAGCTGATTACTCGATCCTAAAACCTGACTGACAGACATTGGAGCCTAATCAGTATGATTTATGGTCAACATACGTTTTAACCTGTGTTTGTCATATAGTAGTGGGCTTCACTTATGTTCCAAAAGAGTTTTTTTTGTTTTGTTTTGGATAGACGTTATCACCCATGCACCGGGACTGGGTTGATGAGAACAGAGGATTTCTGGGCACTGCATCTAAGAGGGACCGCCAACTCCGTGATCCAGTTCGAATAATGCTCATATGATCCACTATCCAAACAATGAGAACATGAGGCAGGAGTCTTGCATGAGGATTTGTAAAGCCAGCTGGCACCCATGGTGAGGTACAGACTATCTCCTTATACTATCTCCACATACTATACCATGCACAACAGTGTTAACTTCTCCTCACACCTGTGACCAAAATCACTGTGCTATGATTGCTATTTTATTATCCTTTACCATGCTAGTAAGTGTAGGCATCAATGCTTTGCTATCTCACATAATCACAGATCAGGTATTTGTGTCTTGCTCATGGTCATGCCATCCAGATATTCACCTCTTTTGTCTTTGCACTCTTTCAATCAAGTTTGCCAGGTATAATATTTCGGAGTGCTTCCCATTTCTAACATGCTGATTATTCCTGTCTGTCGTAACTCCTGCTACTGCCACAAGCGTAGTCAAACAGAAAGTCTGCATTAGGCTGACCCATCAATCTTTGTATCAGTATATGTAGTTGTGCCAGGCCACCCCATTAGTATATGTGTGTGCAACTAAGGCATGTCTATCCTTACAAAGTGTCTGTCAATTCAGTTTCAAATGTATTTCAACCTTAATCTGTTATGTGTCTGTACATGAGACAGGAATGCCAACGCCACACAAGCTTTCTTTTCAAAGGGTTACAAATTGGACACGCAGGCTTGTCTTAAATTTGGCCTTTTTTTTTCTCCAGACCTCTCCTTGAATACCCACACTGACAGTACATCTACGTCATTCATGAGCATGTGGGTAAAGACACTGATAGAATTAACATAAAGAGATACCTTGCATAATTTATAATAAAAATATACACAATGAAATAATGCAAAAAACACATCATATATAGACAATCACACACACTCAAAAACTATACACATACACTTTTACATACAGACCCTGTACACTTATATACACACACACAATATACACAGACAGACACACACTTACACCCTCAGTCAAATACATACATGCACTCATGCTCACACAGACACATAAACACAGCCATACTCATGCATACACATACAGTCTCTCTCTCTCTCTCTCTCATTCACATTCACACAGAGAGAGAGAGAGAGAGAGAGAGAGAGAGAGAGAGAGAGAGAGAGAGACACACACACAGATAAAACCCTTTAAACCAACATGCCCTCATACATACACAAGCCCACAACCATAAACATTCATGCATCCACACAAATGCACCAAATGAAGTAGTGAGCAAACTCAGTGCTGGACCTACTCTTACACATTTATTGCCAGTGAGCTACACTGCATGGAAACCTACTAACAGGAAGATCTGCAATAAATAATATACTGCTGATTCATGTACAGCTATGCTTAGATACTTAGTTACACAGACAGGCAGTCTCTCTTCACACACACATAGGGAGTGAGGGGAAGAGAGAGAGACCATGGAGTTTGCATAAATCTTGGAGACTTCAAACACAGGAAGTTAAGCAGTTCTGACCACTGATGCATATTTTCACTATAGTTTATTTACTTCCTGCGGAATGTAAAATAGCTGTTGAGGCACTTCCTTTGTGAACCTCCTCCCCTTCTTCTTCTGTGCCCCCCCCCCCCCCCTTCCATATATTTGGAAAACTGGTGTTTCATGCCTGAGAGCTAAAAATCACACAGCAAGTTAAAACTAAAAACACATGAAAGAAAAAGGTAGCCTCTCTACCCAGGCAGCTAATGAGACCATCCAGGTGAGGAGAAACTAGGCTTCAAAGAAATCCCATCAACTGCGCGCGCACACACACAAAGGCACTTAACAATCACTTACACAACAGCACTGTCTATTTCTGGAGTAACAAAATCTGCTAGGATTAGTCACAGTGAACTAACACAGGACAGATAATACAGTGACAAACTCTTCACTTTGAGAAGGGCAGTTTCAACAGTGAGAAAATCTGTCATAGAGACAGGACAGTTTCAACAGTGAGAAAATCTGTCATAGAGACAGGACAGTTTCAACAGTGAGTAAATTTGTCATAGAGACAGGACAGTTTCAACAGTGAGTAAATCTGTCATAGAGACAGGACCAAAACAACAGTGATGAAATCTGCCATCATCAAGACAGGACAAATAAAACAGTAAGGAATTTGTCAACAAATCTGTCAACACAGAGACAGGTTAGATAAAACAGCAATGAAATATATCATCAAAGAGACAGAGCAGATAAAACAGTCATGAAATCTGTCATCACAGAGACAGCGCAGATAAAACAGTAACAATATCTGTCATCACAGAGACAGTAACAAAATCTAAAAACACAGACACCTTGCACCTATAAACTCTACATAATATGTTCTACACATAGATTCTCTTCACACAATAATTGTATAAAAATTCTCCACATACTATACCATGCACATACAAACTTTATACACTATACTTTAAAAATATTTTTACAGACTATATAATTTACACATACATTCTCAACTTACTATACCTTACACGTACAAATTCTAGCTACTGCATGTTACACATACAAATAAGTTCTACCTATGATATTTTACACATACATACTCTAACACATACAAACTATACATACTATACCTAACATATACAAACTATACATACCATACCATACACATACAAACTATGCATAATTTAGCCTACACATGCAAACTATACACACTATACCTCACAACACACACGCATGTATGTACGCGCGCACACACACACACAAAATCTACATACTACACCTTACACACAAAAATCTACATACTAACCTTACACACACAAACTCTACATACTTATCTTACACATAATAGTCTACAGAATCAACTATATCTATACATAAAAACTACATACTATACCTTATACATGAAATCTCTACATACTACTTTACTGGACCCCTTGCAAGTGTATAAGATATATAGCGCTAGACCTTTATTTTATAGAACAATGGGCACTAAGTGGGTGATGTGGTTAACATCACGCTCGACATACTACATCTAAACATAACAATGGAAAAAATATATCTTCCACTACAAACTCTGCCTACTATATATATATATTTATACAAATTCTACACATACTAACTTACACAGATAAACTTTGATATCATGCCTTGTACATGCAAACTCTGCATACTACAATTCACACACACACACGCACACACACAAACACATTGTATGCCCATGTGAGTTCCGGGAGCCTATTTCAGGGGGAAAAAGAACAGACCTCCTGCTTTCCTAACAAGTATGTCATACTATTTGACCATGTTTTAAATTGAAGTCAGTGTGCATCTGCTAGAGAAGCAAGGAACCAACAGTCTGCATAAAATTAGCCAGATAGTTAAAACAGATGTGCCGGCAAGACTCAAGTTCTGGAACAAGACTAAAGTCCAGAAGCAGACAAACAACCAGAACTTTCTGCTGGAGTTTATAGCCGACGAATTAAGAAGAAGACAACCACATTGTATATCTCACATGTACTGAATCATACACAAAAACAAGAGTTAAAGTAGAGTATCTACATATATGTCTAGTTGTATTCAGAGCAGAATACGAAATCACGAAATCAGACCAATGCTAGGAATAAAGACATCAAAGAACAACAAATGAAGTGGCTCGGACACCTAACAAGAATGCTCTGTTAGTATCTGCCACAGCGAGCCACACTAAAACGTCACAACAGGTATAGAGCGAGTGGAAGACCTCGCAAAATATTGAGTGAAGGCATTAAGAACAGCTTTACAGAAATAAACATCAATCTTAATAGTTCTCTTGACAGAGCTCATCAACGAATGTTACATCTCCCCTCGATACTTCGCTGAGGTACAAGGTGGAAGAAGAAGAAGAAGAAGAAGAAAGAAGAAAGAAGAAAGAAGAAAGAAGAAGAAGAAGAAGAAGAAGAAGAAGAAGAAGAAGAAGAAGAAATTAGGAGCTTCTCTGAAGAATTTCAACTTACCTTCATTTTGTGCTTGTTATTTTACAATTATCAACCTAATATGTATGCAATTTAACTACATATTCAATCAATCCATCAATCAGTTAGGTGCTTCTTCCATAATCAAGGTTGCCTGTAATGGATATCCCTCTGTTTTACATATCCACTGTACCCTCTCTCAGAATGCTGTTCGCATATCTCTTGATATTACTCTACCACTAGTATCACTGTCCACCCCTTGCTTGCTTGCTTTACACTGTTCCTTCCGGTATGATTATCTATAATAGTGGTTTGTATTTACTGTGGTGGAAATATTTCACTATTTTTCTTTTGCAATCTTCTTTCATTCTAAGTCACTTTAGAACCTCTGAATTTAGTCATTTTTACATGTATGAGATATACCTGTTCTAACTTATCTCCCAAAAAAAGCTGACCTTTCAAAACCCACATACTGAACAGACTTCATAAAGTTGCTTACCGCATACTAAGTCCAAACAGAAACAAGAACTTATACAAACATGTCTACAGAATCATCTAGAACAGTGAATGCTGGGGACAGCCCAACAGGCTGGCAAAGACATATAAAAACCACAACACCAGTGACTAACCTGGTGTCTGCGGTGGCACTGGTGGAACCGCTCAAAGATAAGCCTAGTTTGCCAAGAAATGAATCAGGCAGGCTGGGTGTGACCAAGTCATCTGAGTGGGCAAGAGGCAAGTCTGCATCTTCATCTGTTACTGAAATCTGAGGGGGGTCTCTGTAAGTGTTTATGTCTGGGACTGATGGTTTGTTTCTGGCATCCATAGCTGTTTGTTCGCTGACTTCTGGTAGCTTCATAGCTTGTGCTTTCATCTGTTCCCTTTTCTTGTTGGCTAAATGGATCTAAATTGTCAAGAGGGGGAAGAAATGTCCAAAAAGAATATATTATCTATACTTTATGCTGTAGACAATTTTGGAAGTAGATGATGAAGTTAAAAAAAAAAAGAGAGAGACGGAATATTTTATGTGTTCAGTTACAGACAAGAAGCTGAAAAAGTAAAAAAAAAAAAACAAGAAAAGGAAGAATAAGGAGGATAAAAAGATCAGGAAATGAAGCAGAGGGACTAGGTTGTGAGGAGAAAATGAGGAGGATGGAGGAAAATAAAAGAAAAGAGTTGGTGGGGGGGGGGGGGGGATGGGGGGGGGCGGAGAAGAGGAGAGGGGCAGGGGCAGAGGACAAAAATGAGGAGGGGATGAAAAGTGGGTTTAAGGAAAAAACATAAAAAATAAGAAGAATAGAGGGGAAGAGTTGGGACCAACTTACATTGGGGGTATCAGGGTTGCGCCCCCCCCCCCCATAATAATCAGATTATAAGGAGTAGGATGTAAGAAGAAGAGGAAGAGGAAGAAGAAGAGGAAGAAGAAGAAGAGGAAGAAGAAGAAGAGGAAGAAGAAGAAGGAGAATGAGGAGGAGGAGGAGGAGAAGGAAGAAGAAGAAGAGGAAAAGGGAGAAGAAGAGGAAGTATGCACAGTTAAATACACAATACGAAGTCTAAATGAGGCATAGCTCCAGGCCGCTGCTCAATATAAGGAGCACAAAACAAAGTCACACACGAGGATTACCAGGCTTAGCTAACTACCCAGTAAGAGCGGGTTCCGTGAAACGTGAAGTTTAGAGCTCACTTATGCTACTATAAACGATGACATCTCCCCTTCCAAGCAGCCTCAGCTAGTAAATATACAATAAACTGGTGTGTTAGCCGGGCATTCTTGTCTGTGGGATGAGGGGATGGTGAATTGGTTGGGTGGGGGAGGGGGGATACAATCCTAACATGCACAGTCCGTGGCGACAGCACAAGCCATGAGGACCTCAAACCTCCGGCTCAAAGCCCCAGGTGCCTACACCGCAAAAGTAGTTAATACAAGCAGTGTAGAGCGGAGGGGTGTGTTGTAAAAAGGGTTGTTGTAACGTGACTACATCCTGTAGATAAGCTTCAGTAGCATAATCCCACTAACCAATTTCCAATGGGCTTTGCGTGGGTTGGATAGACCTATGTTCTGTTGGAAGATGAAAGGCAGAAGAATAAATATCAGTACGTACTAAAGCAAGTGGTAGTATTTCTCTTTCTAAATAGGCTAGATCCCGTTCAACGGACACAATCACAGCTGGGATACGCAATCACTGGTTTGATCATATATAGGATTTAAGCCATGTTAAGCATCATTGTTGCCCAGAGTGAACGGCGAGGGAGGGTACAGTTTCTGGGAAAAGAGGCAGAAGCAGATCTTCGGGAAGGATATGAGTGAATAGGCACTGGCTATGAAAAGCACACAGGGCTAGAGGAATGGTTAGGAAAAGAGAGGCTTTCAGGTGTGCCAAGACGAGAGCGACGTTCTGTCAAGAAACCGGTGAATGATGATGACGAAAGTTTCGTTTTCACGTTATCCGTGCTACCGTAAGTCGCATCATCGTTATTGTCATCATATAAATCATCTTGCCAGTTGTAGTGCTAAAATGATTTCAGTACTTAAAAAAAAAATTCTTTATATTCAAAAATTGTGTGTGTGTGTGTGTGTGTTTCATAGAAACAGTCATAGAATCTTGATATGTTAACATAAAAGCTATACAGCACAAGGAACAATCGTGATAGAATAGGTTGATTTCACAGTAAAATGGAGTGGGGTGCAGAAAAAAAAAATACAGTGTAAGGAATCATCAAACCATGTGTGGTGAACTGTCGTGGGTTCGGTTCCTGACGAGGGCCGGATTTTCTTCAAAAATGAACTTGGCTCTCATGTCGACCCAGCCTTGAGTGGGTACAGGGCACAATTATAGAAAGTAAAAGCGGTCGGCGTGATGCTAACCATATCACCCACCAAGTACCGTTTGGTCTATAAAATATGGTATATACACAATACGCATGAAAGCGTGGAAAACGGTCCTTTTATGTATGGTGAACTGTTTGGTACTGAAGTTTTAAAATGATGTGTGGAAGTTTTCTTATTCTCGTCTACACTCCTTCCATGATCCTTATTGTCTACAATGAGCTGAATCGAACGCCGGTGTTGAAACTATAAAACATTGTCCACAACTCAAAGCAATGTTTCCCTGTTGTAAATTTGTGAAGAAAGAAGACAAAAACAATAGATGGCACAATTTACTGCCTGGCATATTTGGCTGTATCTCAGTAAGGGTGGAAAAAGCAATGCAAAGTTAAAATTAAAATGAGAACACCGGTGATAAAGACCATCCCTATACAATAGCAACGCCATATTTTAAAATGTGTACACTCCGTATCCAAGATCAACGCTTCAAATCGTTCACACGTCAAAGACAGAACGCTAAGATTTCTTAAAGCCGCCGCGATTCGTTACATCCGCCCTGAACTTTGTATACAAAAAGACATGATTCTGACACTGCAGCTGCCCTGGTAAAACAGGCAGTTACGTTTGATTGATGTTAAATTTGTACTTCAGTTATAAAAGATTCACTTAACTGCTTAATTTATGTATTTGCTACTGTAGTATGCTCCTTGCGAAACACAGCGAAACATGTCAGGCAATAAATTGTGTTGGTGTCTTCTTTATTCACACTGCCCATAACACTAAGCTACTAATGCTGACAATGATAATAACGCTCAGTACCAAACAAAGAGTGCCTATACTGATGGTGCCAGGTATACCGTAATCTGATTAAAAGCCCGCATAGCTTTTCCTCTGCTCGCTAAAAACCCTTTACATCAATGGGAAACACTACCTTAATCACGACTCTGCCATGTCTAAAAGTTGAAGTCGAGAGGATCGACTTTAATTGACTGAGTTTGATCCCATATGGCTGGTTCTCTCTCCCCCATCTCTCTTTCTCTCTCTATCCACAAAAACTGCACCCGTGAACCAAAGGACACAGTCCGTAAAAAAAACGACAGTCCTTAAAAGGACAGGCAACCTTTAAAACGCAAGGCAAACGACTTGACCACGTCGCCACGGAGAACTGCAATAAGACTGTGATGTGTAAGAACATACAAGAATCACATCTAAAAAACACCAACCGTTCAAAATTCAGTCTAAACAGAAGGGGTATAAAGGAAACCAAGGAAAGAGGACGAGACAACAGATTGCTGCAATCAAAAGACAGACTAATGACGATTAACTTCTACCTGTCTACTGTGTTCCTCCCAACACCGATTTACATCTAAGCTGTGATAGAATTAAAGTCCTGAAACCAGTCATTTAGTCGTAAAATCAACTGTATTGGGGCGCTTCAGTGTTTAATTATGATATAAAATACTAGCAATAAATATGTTTACCTGCACAGTCTGGTGTGATAGTGGTTAACACTATGTTTATTTTTATTGATATTATTATCTTTGGGTTTTGTTTAGAAAAGGCATCTACACGTAGTAAATTAATGTTAAAGGAAGCTCATTTGCCAACTACTACCGACTGTTAGCACTGGCTTCTAGTGAATACATCAAATCTCTAAAATTGCTATAAAACCAGTCATTTTCTTTACTGTAAATCATGTCGACATAAAATGGACATAAGGAGTTAAAACTGCTGTTGAGATTATACTAAGCTAGCGAGTGCAATGCTGAATCGATTATGCTTTTCAGCATCTCGTGTAAGACTTTTTCGCGCCACGAAATACTGCCAAAAGATCTGTTCTTCTTGTCTTCTTTTATCTCTTCTTCCACAATCTGACCTCAGTCTCAGTTATATGTTCCAGTTTTTATTTTCTCATAATGGGGTCCGAAAAGATCGCTGCCTCCTACTAATGTCTATGGTGTGTTCTCTTCGTCTCTTAGCCTCTAAACATTTACATTACTCATTTTGTCCCACCGAGGAATTGGAAGGTTCTCTGCAAAACTAGATCTCCGAGGTCTTGTGTTTTTTTTTTTAAAGATTAGTTAATCATGTTTCAGGATTCATAGAGGTATGTAAAAACTGGTTCTATGTAACGAACCTGAACACCCCCCACCACCCCCCCTCCCTTTTATCCCCCAGAAATGGCAGGAATTTAGTTAATCGTGGTTCTTTTTTGCAGCCTGCAGTGGGTTTCGATCGCGGTATGCTGGCTCACGCCCTAAACCCCCTTTACTATGGGATTTCCCCAAATCTCGCGTGATATATTGACTTAACAGAAAGGAATCGTGAATTAGCTCTTCATTTTACAAACTTCTTTTTTTAAATAGACTATTCTCGTGCTTCTATTTGTGTGTGTGTGTGTGTGTGTGTGGTATGCCAGTACAAAAGATTGGCTTGGGGCTGTAATAAAAACAGGTAGATGAACAAAACAAAAAAAGGTTTTTATTACGTTTTCCGGCCCAAATACACACTGGTTGACCTCTAAACCATGCTTGCTCACCTGTAACACGGGCTAGTCTATGTTACAGGGGTGTAACGTTGCAGTGTCTCTGATGCTATGACCAGCGATGTCGCGTGTTATATTTTACACGACGTCAAGAACTAGCCCTAACTCCAAGCCCCCTACCCCATTTCCGCAGCCTACGTCCCACGAGAGACTGCAGCCTACGTTCTGTGATTTCAGAACTGTTCCTATTTTTGGAAGCAACGCTTCTCTCCTTCTTGCTCGTCAAAGCTGACAACTGAAGTAAATTGACGTACTTGAAGTCCGAGAAGGCTATAATATACGCAGTTTCGCCGGCCGCTGCTCACACCAACAAATAACACACAACGCAGACAAGAACTAGCCCTAACTCCAAGCCCCCTACCCCATTTCCTCAGCCTACGTCCCACGAGAGACTGCAGCCTACGTTCTGTGATTTCAGAACTGTTCCTATTTTTGGAAGCAACGCTTCTCTCCTTCTTGCTGGTCAAAGCTGACAACTGAAGTCCGAGAAGGCTATAATATA